TATTTTGTCCTCACTTTTAGTCTTGCAATTCATGAGCAAAACCGCGTGGCTTTGGGATGTGTTTCGGTTGCGCATAACTGTCACCAAATCCGGGTATCCATCCGAGTCTATGTCACCGGCTCTTAAGGTCACGTAAAGGTCCAAATAGTCAAACAGTTTTAGTTCAGCGAATGTCAGCTTCGGGAACAGCTCTTTATTCATGTCTAATATCTCGATCCACTCGTATTCGGCACCGTTTTGAGATAATAGTAGTATCTGTGGCTCAGCGCAGGTATCTATGCCACTGCCCTTACACACGGGGATTATGTGCTCCACTTCCCCGTCAAAGTCGATGTCCACGAACGTGGACTGACCCACGAATTTGTACACATCTTTGTTCGGGTAACTGATGTTTAGCCCAGTTTTGAATCCCCTGTTATTAAACCAATACTCCATAGTATTAGTGCCGCTGATGAAGATATCTGGCGTAAAATCTTTGGGATTACTTAAATCAATAAATGCATTACTGTTGGGATAACTCATGCGTTGATTAGTGTGTAATCCCTCCAGACACTTTCGGCTAAACCCTTGCGGCGGACCTATCCATAACTCTTTGAGGCAGTGGTCGGTCTCCACAATAAAGTCTGTTATCATATCTCCGTTATAGTCTTCAAGAGAAATAAAAATAAGATTAAAAACTCTTTAATTGACATAAACTCTAACCTAAAGTCAACGGAAAGCTCCGGATATTGTCCGCTAATGGATGAGTGGTATTGCACTCGAGATGCTGCTCAGGATTGCTGTGAAATAGCCATAACTTATAAGTTTTGTCTTCAATGGTGTGAAACTCGTCGAAAGACTCAAACGAAGAGTTGATACTTTTGGTGACAACCAGCACATCGACATAGGAGTTGCCGGTAAAGTCGGACGGTATGACACCGACAACTCTATCATCAGAGTCGCGGTCAAACGTGCACTTAATGTCCGACCGGTTCCGCAGATACGGCTCGTCGTCGATGACCCCCTCAACCAATTGGATCTCAAGACCGCTTTCGGTGACGAGGAAGGCGTCTGTAATCCTATCGAAGTTGTAGTCCACGAAAGCGCCCAAAAGACCGCCTTTCAGTCCATCGAAATTCAGCGGTTTTTTGTTGAAAAGTTTTTCGCCACAACTTAT